AAGGGCATGGCCCGGAGTCCCCAGCCGGGACAGCCGGCCTCGGAGGTGTGAGCCGCGTACCTTTGGCACCAGGTGATAGAATGAGGGACGGGGTGGTGGCTCAGGAGGCTGCACAGCTGGCTCCTCGAGGGCCGGTGTGATGCTGAGTGACTAGAGCAGCAGGAATCGGTGCTGCAGTGCTTCCTGTGGTCATGATTCAGCTTGCAGACAGGACGGAGTCCTTCCGGCTTTGCCCCGAAGCTGGGAACAGTTGGAGGAATCCGTTTCAGCCACGCCCTGGTCTGATCATTCAGTCATGAGCGCAAGGGTGTTCAGGTGAATGAATGAATGATGGTCACGCCTGAAAGCCGAGGAGGCGGGGATGGTCTTGCCGTGTGTTTGTGCGCCATCACAGGCGGGACCCTGCTCCGAGCCCGTTGTCACCGACCTGGCTGAGCAGCCCCTGTCGTGTGGCCGTGCCTCCTCCCAGGCCCCTTTGGGAGCAGCCTTGCCGGCTGGATTTCAGAAGCTTCGAGGCCAGGATATTTTTAGTATCCAGACCATCAGGTTCCTGAGGCCATTAATAGCTCAGGTCTGGGAAGGAAAGGTGACAGCAGTCCAAGAGGGCAGCAGCTGCCTAAGTGGGTCAGGCTATTGTCACCAGTGGCCACTGCCTCTAGCTGGCAGGGATTTTTGTGGAAGGTGACTTCTCGTGGCTGCACTGAGGATCCTGGACACACCAGATGGTCTTGTTTTCTGTGCGCCTCACCCGCTCCAGCTTCTGTGGCTCCATTTTCAACCTTTGCCATATATTTTGGGGGAGGGAGGAGGGGAAGAGAACTAGTTCAGGAGTCCACTCACAGTCCGGCTCTTTATTTTCCTGAATCATACTGTCTTGAGCTTTAAAATAGACTCCTCCCTTCATTCTAGTGGCTCAGTTTTGGGGGATAAGTTTGTGTGCCATGATTTATGCTGCTTATTATGTTACTAGAGGCCTGGTGCACGAATTCGTGCACAGGTGGGGTCCCTAGGCCTGGCCGGCAATCAGGGCTGATCGGGGCCGCGGGAGGTTGGCTGTGGGAACTCACTGACCACCAGGGTGCAGCTCCTGCATTGAGCGGCTGCCTTCTGGTGGACAGTGCGCATCATAGCGACCGGTCGACTGGTCGTTCGGTTGCTTAGGCTTTTATAAATATAGATAGGCGTAACACAAGAGTGAGAGATGATGGCATAGCTGGGGCCAAGGAGAGTTCATTACATGATCATGTGTGCTTTATTTGCTACAACATGATGTACCAGCATATGTGTAATATAGTGAAATAAACACAAAAATGCTTTACAAATGACTTGTCTGGAAATTGTATGAAAGTTATTCCTGTCTCTCAAGATAGAAGTAGTGTGTGTAACAGCCTAATGTCAGAAGAGCTGGCTGGTGGAGGGCTCAGAGCCAAATGTCTTCACTGAGCTGAAGCTTTTGTTAATCGAATTAAGTGCATAGCTTATAACAACTTACTGAAGAACTAGAAGATCTTCAGCAAAAAATGTATTCTATCCTTATTAAATACATCATTACTTTATTGATTCCATGAATGGTTCCTTATTTAAAACATTTTAACACAATCCTGGGAATACTTCATCTTCTGAACAGTACTAAGTCCTTGTACAAGGACATAATAGAAGTGGTTAGAAACTAATTTTCCTGGGAGTTGGCCCATATTAAATGACCTGCTTTTCTTAAGAATTTTTTAAACCTATATTAAAATGTATTAAAGGCATATTAGGGAATGCTTCCATTTCAGGAAAATGTTCAGTCTTAGTGTATTTCAAATTAGTAAACTAAATGTAAGATTTGACATAATATAGTTTGGAAGTTAATTTGAGAGAGTCCGTCAAGAGAAGTTAATTATATTTGACTTGTTAAATTTTGAAAGTATTGTTTTGAGTTGTAGACAGAATTCACACTTACAAGAATTGCACCTCTTGCCCTAGCTGATTTGGCTCAGTGGATAGAGAGTCAGCCTACAGACTGAAGGGGCCCGGGTTTGATTCTGGTCAAGAGCACATGCTTGGGTTGTGGGCTCGATCCCCATAGGGGGCGTGCAGGAGGCAGCCAATCAATGATTCTCTCTCATCATGGATGTTTCTATCTCTGTCTCTCCCTCCCTTCCTCTCTGACATCAATAAAAATATATTTAAAAAATAAAAAGAATTGCACCTCTTGCCCTGGCTGGTGTGGCTCAGTGGTTGAGCATCATCCCATACACTAAGAGGTCACCGGTCAGGGCACATGCCCTAATTTCGGGCTCGATCCCCAGTAGTAGGCATGCAGGAGGCAGCTGATCAATGGTGCTCTCTCCTTCTCCCTTCCTCTCTGAAATCAGTAAAAATATATTAAAATAAAAAAGAATTGCACCTCTTAAAAGTTCTCATCACAAGAACAAAAAAACCACACCTATAACTACAGTGATGTATGTTGATTGTGGTGATCATTTTGCAATATATACAGATACAGAATGTTGTACACCTGAAGCTAATAGAATGTTATGTCATTTATATCTCAACTTAAAAAAGATTGCACCTTACATTTGTATATTGCTTTATATTTTCCAGTTGTATATAGAGTAATGGTCACACTGCTAGCAGAAAGTTTTGTGCATGCCCCACAGATATATATAGGGTGTCCCCAAGAAATGTATACTCACACTTTGCATAATGATAAAGGCAGTGCTTGTTAAAATATGTCTCATTTTCAAAATTGAGCTGTCAGCTGTTACAGGGTGTTCCAAAAAATGTATATACACTCTGGCTCCCATTAGTAATTCCATTGGGTTAAATCTGAAAAGAAACATCAATTTAGGTGTGTATACTTTTTTGGGGGACACCCTATTTATATATACTATTTATAAACTACATATTTTGCTCTACCAAAATATGGCATATATTATAAAGCATAGAAAAAGTTAAAAGGGGGTGAGATAGAAATGAACTAAGCAGAGGTGTTCTGAAATAGTCTCCCATGCTCCTTGAGGTGGGGTCACCCCATGATGGCTGGAAGGTTGTGTGTAGTTTTCGAGGTTTACCTGGAGCTCACTAAGCTGTTTGTGCAGGGAACACACGTGTGTAAAACCCCCCTCTTTTCGATCACTTAGTGCAATTGGCGTCTCTCTCCCTGGTGGCCCTGGTATCTATGGTCTTTAGGTCTCAGAGATCCTGGCCTTGTGCCCTCAGCATGACCATGTTCTGTCCACGTCCGATACTGCTTCCCAAGGCTGGCCTCAGAGTGCCATCCTCCAGCTCTGACATCTCTGAGATGAGGTCTTTATCTTATTATATATTTATTAGAGGCCTGGTGCACAAGATTTGTGCACTGGGGGGGGGGGGTTCCCCCTCAGCCTGGCCTGTGCCCTCTCGCAGTCTGGGATCCCTAAGGGGATGTCCACTGACAGCTTAGGCCTTCCAGGGAGTCGGACAGTCTTAGCGCTGCTGTGGAGGCACCGCCAGCCTTGAGCCGGCTTCTGCCTGGGCAGTGCTCCCCCTGTGGGAGCACACTAACCACCAGGGGGCAGCTCCTGCATTGAGCGTCTGCCCCCTGGTGGTCAGTGTGTGTTATAGCGACTGGTAGTTTTGCCGTTCAGTCGATTTGCATATTAGCCTTTTATTATATGGGATAGGATAGGATGTACGTAGTTATTTATTTAGTTTTGTTAATCCTCATCCGAGGATATTTTTCCATTGATTTTTAGGGAGAGTGGAAGAGAGAGGGAAAGACAGAGAGAAACATTAATGTGAGAGAAACACATTGATTGGTTGTCTTCTGCACGAGCCCTGACCAGGGCCTGTGCCAGGGAGGAGCTTGCAAACAAGGTACGTGACCGGAATCGAACCGGGACCCTTTGATCCTTAGGCCGACGCTCTATCCACTGGGCCACCCCGCTAGGGCGAGATGAGGTCTCTTAATCTAGCTGCTCAGCGAAGCCCCAGTCCAGCTCTTGGTGTGTCCCTATCTGAACGCCTCCCCACTTTCAGTTAATGGCCCCTCGTGACCCAGGATTGAAAGTCAGAAGAAACCTCTGGGTTATCTCACCCTCTTCTACATCGGGTCAGCCACTACCTTTAAAGAAATACTCTCTCCTCGTTGTTCTAACAGCCCTACGCCGTCGTTTTCCCTGTGCTGTTGGCTTAGCCTCCTGATTGGCCCCATGCGGTTCCTTTCCCGTCTACCCACCGCACTGCCGCCAGAGTAATTCATCTTAACCGCAACCTAGCACGCGGCTGGGACCCTGTGTCTCCCCACCCCCTGCAGAGGCCGTCCAGGCTCTGGTGCCAGTGGCTGTGCCTCCCTGGTTGGCTCCCCATCCTTAGCCCTGTGCCTTCCGCTCCAGCCTCCACCAGAGGCTGTTTTCTTCTCCCTGTGCTCTTCTTCCATTTCTCAAACCATTCGCACACGGAGGCGGTCTTACAGCCCACAGAGTCTCCTAGTTCCCCAGGGTTAGTTAGCTTCCTGCCTCCGTCGCTCCGTGCCCATAGCCGGCCACTCTTGCTGCAGCTGCTTCTCTCGCGGTGACAGCCTTGTCTCTGAATTGGGTGCTTGTGGTGTTGCTTCTCGACTGTTTGCTCGTGGGCTTTGTCCGTGTCACAGCAGTGGGAGGGCTTGGTCAACACCGGACCCAAAAGTAAAGTCGCCTCGGCTCCTTGGAGTGGCTCGTCCCAGCGGAGCTCTGAGCGTCATCTCATTGGGACCCTGCAGGGAAGTCCTTGGCGGCACCATGGCCTCGTCCAGTTCCATCCTGGTCACAGGGAGGGCACTTTATTAAACCAACACAAACAACTGCTGCTGTGCAAAAACAAACCCAGCGTTATGTTTAAGTGCTGTTCGGAAGCTATGTGAATGCAGTGCTGTTCTTCTCGTTGTACTCTTTCATTGGCAGGTTGTCATCCTGTTTTCCATCAAAAGTAGGGCTCGTGTACGAGAGGCCTTCCTGTTTGTTAGGAAATAGCTGTGTGTGACTCTCTTGGACTCCTCGTCACTGTGACACTTCAATGTGGTTGTCTGTTCCAGGTTCATATCGAGATCCATTGACGACCTTCCACCGACTGGCACAGGCGTGTCCTGGGGCCCCCACCGCAGAAACGCAGCATGAGGGACGGGACAGGGACTCTGGGCACCTGCCTCGTGAAAGTGCCGCCAGGGGACTCGGCCAAGCGACCGTGTAGCCTTCGAACACAGGAGAGCCCTCGCCCACCAGGCGTCCCTTCCTGGGCGAAGCAGCCTGCGGGTGATGTTCATGGAAATTTACAAAATGAGACATTATCATTGGAAATGAAAAGTGACCTGAGTGAGGCCTGGCTTCACAGTGGCACCAAAGTGCTTGCATATTTGAAAGAATCATTAAGAAGAAATTCGGCTTCCACGGCGGCTCAGGGCCAGACTGTGGATCTGTTCTTTGCTCCTGCGGAGGAGTGTTTTGCCGGGGTGTCCTGTGGTGTCGAGGCGGCCCTGGTGAGGGACTGGCTGGGAGGCGGGCCCAGGGCCACCAACAGCCACAGAGGCCGGTGCCACAGAGGAGAGCCTGGGGGGGCAAGACTGCCATGCGGCTTGCGGTCAGGAACGGGCATCTCTGCGGGCGCACCGAGGGCTCTTCTGGAGGGGCGAGGCTCTGAGTCGGAACCGCCTGGCCGGCATTCGGTCCTGTCCACAGCGCTGCACGTGCGGCCCGAAGTACTCCCAGAGATGGCAGCGCGTTTCCCGGGCACTCGGAGCCCGCACTGCCCGAGCA